ATTTTGGATAGCGTCGTTTTTCATTAATTCACTATGTTTGCTAAACATAGATGTTTATTTTGTTTGTAAGCAGTATGCTTATGAATTATCGATTGTTCAACAGCTGATTGATTTTTTTTTTGTGACAATTAACTGTTTTATTATTTTAATTTATTGTGTTTCTTTTATTTTAATTGGAAGTATCTTAAGGTGAAATATAATCAGAAAAAAATGTTTATTAAATTATTTTAAAAGTTTTGTTATAAAACCTTAATATCTAAGGAAAACAAATTCGTTTGTAAATTAAAAAAAAAAAGTTTGGTAAATATATATACAGTGTTTCTTCAGGAATAAGCGACCAAATTGAATATATGAATTAAGCACTGCAATACAAGAAAAAAATCCTATGATGGTATGCCCGCCACAAACGCTTTGTTTTGAAGATATTCACACCCAAAGATTTTCATTGTTATGAATTATTTACGTTATATTAAGTAAATAAAACTCATTTATTTGTTTCAACTACTTTATTAATGAAACTTAAACATTAAATTCATATTACTTTTGTCCAAAGTTATTTCCTTGAGCATTGACACAGGCTCGCGATCTTTCTTCAACAGCAGCAGTGGCAGAACGGCACTGGATATGTGCTGTTTCACAAGATTCAATTATCCTTCTTCGTAAGGAATTAAGGTAATTGACCGGACTTGCATAGACTTTTTGTTTAATATCATCCTAAACAAAAAAATCCAGTGGTGTCAGGTCTGGAAAGCGTGCATGCCAAGCCACTGGTCCAACAAAGCGTTTGAAAACACACCTTCACTTCTAACAACATTTAATATGAATGTTAATGTTTAAATTTAATTAATAAAGTAGTTGGAACAAATTTAATGCAAATAAATCATAAAAACGAAAATCTTTAGGTAGGCCATACCTTAGAATATCTCCTAAACAAAGCTTTTGCGGACATACCTTCAGAGGATTTTTTTTTCTTGTTTTCAGGTCCTTAATGCATTTTTAATTCACTAGACATTCTATTTATCATAGGGCTAAACAAATTTAAAAAAGAAAATTTAGCAAAAGTTTCAGATGATCAAAAATAGTTAAAAAACGTTAACTAGCCTTGGAGTGGTACTTCTATTGTTAGTTTCCTGTTTTCAATTTCATTAGTTTACTTTAGTAAATAAAACTCCCGTCATCAATGAAAATGATATGAGAAAAATAAACTGAAGAAAAAAAAAATCCGTTAAATTCAAATTCACTTAATTAAGGCTAGTGGTAAAGTAGGGGCCCTCTGGAGAGGGAGCATATTTCTAAACCAGTTTTCAAATCATCATTCATGAGTTAGGCTATTATTCATGTGACAACATAACTGGATGTATCTGACCAATCTTAAGGTTTCTCTTCCTTTGCCTTTTTGTCTTCTACTCCTATCCAATGATGTTAACTTACCCATTCTCCGTTACTCAGCCACCAAGAACAGGAGAGTATTTGACAGGTGATGATTAATCAATGTCGGAGCAGGAGTATATCTCCAAACCGATAAATTGATTGATATTGGTCGATGCACACAATATTCTATCTTGTACATTAACATATTTCAGACATTGGACATAAATTTGTATTTATTGCTGCAGTTCTAAATATATATTGTATATTTATGATATATATTAAATATATTTTTTTACTGTGATGGCTGATAGTATTGAAAAGTGCATGTAAGAAGTGTTAATAAAAACAAATCATGAACCAATCAAAATAGTTACTTAATTTTATTTCATCTTAAAATTACTCTTATACCAATATTTCGATGCAAATTATTATTTTTTTTTAAATAGAAGATACAATTTTTAATTCTTGTAATATAACTTAAAGACTTTTTTTAAGGAAGGAGATGGTCCGGGGTGGCGGTCATAAATAGGCTAAATAGTGGCAAAACTATTTTATTAAAAGCCAACGTTTCGACCTGACTTTGTATGTCTTCATCAGGAAGGTGTGTTCAGCAAGGAGGTTCTAAGTGAAACTTCTTGCTGAACACACATCTCTGAAAAAGACCTGCAAAGTCGGGTCAAAACATTGGCTTTTAATAAAATAGTTTTGCCACTATTTAGTCTATTTATGACTGCCCGGACAGTCTCCTTCCTTAATAATACAACGGTCAACTATTAAGTATTCAATCAAAGGCTTTTTTATATTACATGAATTATGATTATAATTACAGATAATTTGTTTATTAATTTATGTAGGTACTGTTAAAGTGTTTGTCGCAAGAGGATTACCATAAACTAAAACTATTTGAAAGAAAGATAATAAGAAGGATTTATAGTGTTACAAGATTTAGTGGTGATTGGAAAATTGGGGACAACAATGAAATCGGGTCTATATTAGAGAATAATAATAGTATTAACTGTATCAAGGCAAGTAAGCTGACATGGGCAGAGCGTGTGGTCAGAATGGAGAATGAACTGGCGCAAAATAAAATACTGGAAGCGCACTTCAGTGAGAAGAAAAAAGGGAAAGACCAAGAAGCAGGTGGAAGGATGAAGTGGAGAGAGATGGATGGAAGCTAGAAGTCCCCTATTGGAAGAGAGAAGCACAGCACAGGACATAGAGAAGTGGAGAAGAATGACTCAGAAGGTCAAGTGTCTTGCTGTTCTATAGCACCGGGGAGTTAGTTAGTTACTGTTAATACGAGCTATCTTTCCCTAGTTTTTGGACTTAAGTGATAATCTGTTTTTAATTCTTTCTCCAGGAGTCAGAATACTTAGGAATACCAGTTTACTTAGTGTATTAGTAAAAAGAATATCCACTCGTTTACACTGTGTCAATTTTTAAGTGTTTTATTTATTTAAAATGGAACAAACTTTATGAAACTTTGTTTGGGAGCATTTTCAGCTCTTTCTGAAACTCATTAAAAATTATGAGAATCAAAAAATGGTTGAATTTTAGGTTGTCTCCATCAAAAAGAAGAACCATTAAAAACGCTTTTTAAACCAGTTTTAGTTCAGATGTTCTGTGGGAAAGATTGATTTTTCATTTTTCAAGCTTATTAAATATTTTTCATTGAAAAAAAATATTTATTAAGAAATTTTCATTTAATGTAAATCTCTACCAAAATAAATCCACCATAAGTTTTTTTTTTTTTTTAAATTAGTTTGAAGTTACTCATATATTATAATTACTATGATATTTCAAGGAAAAAAATAAGACAGTAAAAGAATTGACACAATTAGTACCATTTGTCAGGCTTCATCTGCTGGAATATAATATCCCCAAGTTCTATACATAAAGTTATCTATGGTTACATTTTTAGAAATTATAGAAATGTAAAGGAAGTGATTAATAATGGAAGCTGATATTTGCTTCATAATCATAAATAAAATTTGAACAACTTGGTGATCAGTTTCATCACGGTCACCTTTATAATTCCAGTAAAAACAACCATGTAGTAAAAGTTTTAGATATGTTGTCATACAAAGAATAACACAAGGGGAAAGAAAAATACCAGACAATATATATTAATCCTTCCACTCAACTTTGCACCCATAGATCGGAATTCTTCTCCTCTTTACCTACAAATACAAAGCCAAGACTTTTGTGCTTTATACTATCAATTGTTGGTACATACAGCAAAGTGAAACATTTTATGTCACTGAATTAATGCTATCCTATTAGGAGCAAAGTTACTCCATTCAATGCACATGAAAAAGTACAGTCGATATGGTAATATTTAATATTATAAGACACTGATTAATGCATTCTATACTCAACTTAAAACAATAGTTTCCTTAGTTCACAACTGGGCAGCTTTAAATGAACTGTACATTTTTTATTAAGTTCTGCTAAAAACAAATGTGCTGGATAGATATCCTAGTATAAAGTTGTCATTTTATTATTTGAAAAACAGATTTTTGGAAGATTAATGAACTTTTAAACTGCTCCCCTTAAATGTTGTTGACTTTGCTACTTACTTAAGCTCTGAGAATTTTTTTTTTAAACTTATTTATTGAAAAATATTACAATCTGTCTCAAAGGACATCTGAGGAATTAAAATTATTTTTATCATTTTCATTGATCTGTAGGCGCCTTGTTAATAAATATATTTATATAAATATAACATCCAATATAATTTATACAGATTGTTAAATAATTTGATTATTGGGTCATTGGTGTTTCTTGTTAATATATTTTTATAAATCCATAAATTTCTGAAAATTAGTTAAGAACTTTCTAAAACTTTCAGCTTATTTCTGTATTTTTTTAAATTTTCGTTTGGCTTCATGAATAAAATAGAAGTATGTACTGCAGTGTCCATACAATAATAATTAAATGAACTATTGAATTAATGAAGTTTTAAATTTAACAATGTATTTGTTATAATGAGTTAATTATTTTGAAGAGTTTTATGTTTTGTTAATTTCATTCAACCTCCTTGAATGTTGAATAAAATGGCAAAGGCCTCAAGACCTTTGAATATATTATATTATTGAAGTCCTGGCAGTGGCCATCTTCTCCATTCAAACCCTGGGTTTCTGTGGCCGCAGGGCACTCTATGACTCTCCACTGACTTTGAAATTCAAATACCAGGGTCATAGCTGGAAAAGAAGCTCTGAAATCTCCTTGAATCCTGCTTTGTCCTCCACACTTAGGGGTCAACGCTTGACCCAGGGCTCTGTAAATATTATAAATAGGTATGAATGTGTGATGATATATTATATGACATGATATATTATAGTTTACTCAATTCTAATTTATCATTCTTTTGTTGTTACTTCTTTTCTTTTCTTGTATAGGGGGGTGAATGTATCTCATATACCTATTCCTCTTAAGCGTGGTGAAATGTATTATTTTTCAATAGAAACAGTTAAGCGAAAAATTACTTTGCTGTTATGTTCCCTTCATTGAGCAAATAGAAAAATAAATACTTTGATTTTAGGATTTGTAAATTGTAATATGAAACATTAATACAATAAATTTGGGAGAGGTTTCTGAAAATATATATATATATTTGTTTATTTCAGTTCCCCGTTGCAGTTACCCAAGATGTAGTCAAGAACCCTGAGTCTTGCTGATAATTCACCCATGCAGCTATCCCAGTGGTAAGATCAAAAAATTAATTAACATTATAAAATTTAAAAAAAGAAGTAAAATAATGTTATACGTTTGCATCTTAAATGTATGTAATTGTTACTAGCTCCTATAGTTTTCAAATCTGCTAGAACCTCAGCAATCCTAAAATCAACAAAATTGAGAATTAGTGTATTGTTTGTTAATTCTATAACAAACAAAAAATGTGGTGTGCACAACACACTTTGAACAGAAATTATTTTCTGGCAATGTTGGGTTATATAAAATTTTTGAAGTGTATTTTAAACGGAGCTAAAGCTTAAAGATTACAGATAACAGATCGTTAAGACCATTCAAATTACAAAATGTCTAATTATTACATCGTCGGTAGGCAATAAAAATCTAGTTACTCCATCTGGTTTTATAAACCAGTTGACAGAATCACTAACTCCAATTTTATCATTTTTTAGTAATATCATTTTAGTGATATTTCTAGTTGGAATAGTTGTATCTATACAGAGTAAGTTTATTCTAGAGTAGGCGGTTCCAGTGTTGAAATATTGAATTATGAATAAAGGTATAAATTTTGCCACTTGAAAAATCACTAAAATTAATAATAAAGAATGTTGAAGTTGGAGTTAGTTATTCTGTCGAATGAAAGGCTCAGAGACTGAACTGTGTGGTTTGTAAAAGGAGATGGAGTAACGAGATTTTTATTGCCTATCGTCGATATAATAGACTTTTTATAATTTTAATGGTCTTAATGATTTGTTATCTGTAAGCTTTAAGCTTTAGCTCCGTTTTAAATGCACTTCAAAAATTTTATAGTAGCCCAGCATTGCCAGAAAATAATTTCTATCCAAAGTAGAGCGGTAAGTGGAAGTTGTTTGTTTCGCGCACCAAATTTGTAATATTGATAATGAGTGATTTACTGTCAATATTAAAATTTATTATATATATATATATATATATATATATATATATATATATATATATGAACACTCCGTACCTTTGCTACAGTAGGTGCAAGAATTTTTGTAGATATGTATCTGTTTTATTTCTTTTTTGTTTTGTTGTTTTTATCTATTATTATTCATAAGTTTACGAAGGATGTCCGTAAACTGGTGGGGGGTAGTTAAGGTACGGAGCGGGACAGTATTAGCGTTAATACCAAATGCATTTATGTAAACAATCTCAGAATGTATTTATAGAGGATTAGAAGGAGAAATAAACCAGTCTTGATTTCGTCTTCATGCGTGTTGTTTCTTAAACCTATTACTTTTTTTTAAGTGTTTCAAGCCCGCTACGCTTAACTGGTGCCGAAACCCGGGACGGTGAAAGAGGTACGTTTTTTTTTCCAATCAGTAAAAAACTGTTACCAGGATGCCTGAATTCGACCTGAGGCAGCCAGCTCCCATGAACGTGCCAGAGATCCCTCCATTACCGCAGGGAACATTTGCCGCGGCGCATGCAAATGCAATTGAATGGATGAAGATCAGGGTAGCCACTTCACAGGACCTTAGGAAGGCTATATCCGATCTCGAGCGCTTCACCGGAGAAACAGGTGAGCTAAATCACTTTTTAAAAGGGGGAGATCGACTTGTAACAAGAATCAATGCGAAGATCGAGGAGAATCTTGTCAACGCTGGAGATGCGGATGCCCTTAGGGCAGCGCTTGTGTGCAGGGTCAAAAGAAGTATCCTGAACCACATTCAGGCGGATGAAGAGACGCCGTGGGAAACGGTCAAAGAAAGGCTGAAGAAAGCTTACGGAGGCGGTAGGTGGACAACGGAAGAAGACATCTTCCAGATGTTCCGCGAAACGAAGTCTTCACGCCAGTCAAAGGGACAATATGCTGCAACCCTCGTAGCTCATTACAACCGTATCACGGAGAAGATGCGGGAAACAGCAGGCGCTCCGGAGGTAGAAGCGAAGATGGCCTTCTTGTCCACCATACTGAAGGTGCAACTGGCGAAAGAAACTGGGAAGAAAGATGGCTTACCCCGGGAACGTTCGTTTATTGAATGCGCCCAAGAAATGGTAGATTCCAGTGCTCGAGATGAAGAAGCCCGGTTAGAGGTGGAGGAACCAGGATGGAACAGAGTGAGCTATAGGAGACCTAGAAGTTCACCAACGACCTGGAGAAGGAGAGAGCCCGCATACAACGGGAGAGAAAAGACCACCGGAGCTGAACGAAGACCAGGCCAAGGTAGAGCAAGAGGTAGCCAACGGAGAGAGGACAGGAAATGCCACGGTTGTGGAAAGAGCGGACACCTGGTGGCACAGTGTCCCCGCACGAAATGTTTTGAGTGCGGGACTGAGGGACACATAGCGAGGCAATGTCCATACATATATTCCAGAAGGAACAGAGACCCACAACGAGCAGAGCCGATGGAGGTGAATGCGCAAGATTTGAGGAGAAGAAGGGTGCAGTCCAGGAGAAGTGACTCATTGACAGAGGCTTCAGAAGAATCTGCAACCACCAAGACCGAGGAAGAACCAGAGGACCCAATAAGCCGGGAAAACGAGAAGAGCGGAGAAGGGCGGAGAGGCAGTGGAAGAAGCGGACGGCGACCAGCAGTGGAGAGGATCTGAGGAGAGTGTCAGGCGAGAGGTGACCGCACGCTAGTAAACTATAGCATTCGAGGGAAAAGCTGCTGGTTACCAATAATAGAGGCGAGAGGAGTGAGGTGCCTGGTAGACACCGGGAGCTCCAATACCATTATGACGCGTGGAGTGTTGGAGAAGCTGTACGGGGGAGAGAGGACACTCCAAATCAAGGTATGTAGTTGTAAGTTAATCACCCTGGGTGGCCCGTGTGGAGTGGAAGGGGAAGTGGAGATAAGATTGAGGGGATGGGCGGCCAAGGGAGGTAAACTTACGGTGCATGTGGTGGGAGAAATGCCCCGGAATATCAGGCAATTATAGGTTGTGACATGCTGGGAAAGGTGGGCGTGCGAATCTCGAATAGGAGAAAGGAGTGGAGAATAAAAATAGGGAATGTGAACTACACGAGCAGGGCAGCAGTAAAGTATGAGGTCGATAGGGCGCGCATAGGAGCTATAAGTCCAGCCGAGGATTGGAGAGTGACAGTGAGAAGGGAGTTCGAAGACGTTTTCCCTAAGGGTAGGGGAAGTATAGAAAGACTGCATAGCACTCTCAGTGACCACCTCAGAGTATACCAGGTGGAAAAAGGGCTGGAACCGGACATGGCAATGCGGAAGGCGGTGGCAGCATACAACCATTCGATCCATACGGTAACGGGGTTCTCTCCATTTGAAATCCTCTTCGGACTACGCGGGCGGCAACGGGACTGGGAAAGCACAGCTGTGGATGAGGAAATGACGAGAGGAATCATTAGCAATAAAATGGAATTGGGCAATCTGTGGAAGAAGGTTAAAGGAAAGATAGAGGGAGAAAAGCGTAAAAGAGTTGCGCGGGAGAATTTGAAAGTAAAGGAGATAACAGGGGGATTGAGGATCGGGTTCATCGTGTATCGCAGGATAGGGTCTAACAGGGGGAAGGAATTGCGGAGATACGAGGGGCCATTCAGGGTGATAACGTCGTCTCTCATAACGTAGTGACTATTGAGAGTGTCAAAGAACCAAGGAAAAGAAGAACGGTTCATATAGAACAATTAAAACTCCCAATTTCAGAGCCCTCATCTCCGGAAAGAGAATTTTTTTTTGTTTTTATGTATTTCAGGAGATCATCTTTTATTTCTTTTGTTTTGTATTGTGTGTATATAGCGTTCATACTCGACATAGTGTATATATGTGAAGAAACGTGCAGTGAAATGTGTAGTTTGTTTGCAAGGAGGACAGTGTATTTTATTTGGTTATTTAGTATTGTATATGAATTTTTTTTTTTGGTTGTTTGATTACATTGTAAATACTGAACACTCCGTACCTTTGCTACAGTAGGTGCAAGAATTTTTGTAGATATGCATCTGTTTTATTTCTTTTTTGTTTTGTTGTTTTTATCTATTATTATTCATAAGTTTACGAAGGATGTCCGTAAACTGGTGGGGGGGAGTTAAGGTACGGAGCGGGACAGTATTAGCGTTAATACCAAATGCAGTGATGTAAACCATCTCAGAATGTATTTATAGAGGATTAGAAGGAGAAATAAACCAGTCTTGATTTCGTCTTCATGCGTGTTGTTTCTTAAACCTATTACTTTTTTTTAAAGTGTCTCAAGCCCGCTACGCTTAACTTATATATATATATATATATATATATATATATATATTTTTTCCTGTTCTTCCCTAACTCGCCTTTTAATCTATACGGGATTTTCTCGGGCCGAGGAGTGATGGCGGAGAATTTAAAATCCCCTCCGCCACCGGGACACGAACTCGTACTTTTTAATCTCTCATATCTGTTATCTAGCTACTGGCAACTGCTATGCACACGCGTCAGCCCAATCGGCCAACCCGCTCACATATTTATTTTATATATTTACTATTAATCAGTTGAATGTTTATTTCCTTAAAGTCCCCGCTGATTGATCCCTAATGTTTATCTCTAAACATCAAGGAACCCTTAAATAAAAATATTAATTTATTACAATTGAAGAACTCATTATAAAAACGAAACAATCCACAGTTTTGAAGAAAATGAGTTATTTGTGCACAATAGTAATTTGTATCTCAATAGGTCACTTAGTATATGGTGTTTGTGCAGGGGTGTCCATCCCCCCAAGGCCGATGGCGCAAAATGCTACCTCCCAAGATATTTTATTGCTAACCTTTTCATAGAAACAGAGCAACAAAAGGTAGAATTAGAAAAATCGTAGATCATACACAATTACACTAGCTGTGGTCTGTTCCACGTTTTCACCCGCTTTTTCTGAAACTTTTCATTCCCAAAATTCATAACCATGTTGAAATTTGTCCCCCTTAAAAATTCAAAAACAAGTCAGATTATGCTCCCCATAAAAACTTTGATGGCGCAACTTGCGCCATATAACTCCTTCTGGGCACCCTTGTGTTTTTGGGTATATCAACATATAAAAAGGCTTTCCATCAAATCATGTTATTGTTGCAAAGACTTTTAAACTATTTTTGATAAGGAAAATGCCTGAACCACATCCAAAGTTGCTGGACAGTAGATGTAATGCTTTAAACTTTGTTTTTGGTTTGTATTTCTGAATATAAGGCCCAAGATTGACCACGAAATCTCGAACCTCACTTTCTTATAGAACTTTTTGCTGGCTTCTGTGAAGTGGCTGTTGAGATGCATTTAGTTTATCAACATAAGAAATTCATAATTAAAGGGTTTGGAGCAAGGATATGACAAGCCACATGATCACTGACTTTTGAATAATTCTGATACTATCATTCAATGTTCTGCACAGTTTTTATTACAAAAAATTATGGATAAATGTGTTGTTTCAAAATGGGTCAGTGTTCACATTAAACATTCACTGTTTGAAACTAAAGTGGTTTTAAACGACAAGTCTAATATTTTGTGACTTTATTTTTAGTATTTTTAAAGATAAAAACCTTTTTTATAAAAAACGGTTTTTCTTTTTCATAAATTAAACAACTTTATCATTCTATTTTCTACAATAGTTCTATTTAATACGATAAATAGTTCAAACAATTTTAAAACTACTTAAAATTCAAAAAACACTTTTTAAATTGTAATTCAGCTAAATAGTCAGCATTCAATCTTTGTTGGGTATAAGGGTATTATAATATCATTTTAAATCAGAGGAATATATGCTAAGGAAGATTTAGCATCTTGAAATTTCGTTGTAATTATTTTAATATTCTTTACTACACTTTGTTTATCTTTCACTTGTGCTAATAAGCAAGTGACTCGGCTATATGATAAAGGTTATCTTATTATAGTATATAGATATTATCTATATATAAAGATTATATATATATATAAAGATATAATATATAAAGATTATCTCTGTCTAATAGTTGTATCAATTTCCCAGTTTCATAAAAAAATATGTTTGAATGATACAACTCCAAAATCCACTACTTCCCTCAAATCCATATACACAAGGGATCCTACATCCAAGACCTTGTTATTTTGTAATAATAGATATGGCAGTATTATTTTTTTTTTCAATATTCAGTTATCTATTTATTTTAATCATGTTGAATTTGATATTTCTATATTCATTAGTATTTATTTCATTTTTCAGGAAATGGCTACAAGTCCACCAATGCCCGAGTTTCGAGGAGCTGACCATTATCGGGGGCCCTCGTCTATCGAAGCTGGGCATGAAATAGTCAGGCCAAAGCCAAGGAGGTATTAAAAAGTTATTTAATGTATTTGCAAATTAAATCTTTGTTGCAATCAATTAGTTGGTTAAAATATAAAATATGAAAACATACAATGAAATTAATTATAGATGAGACTTCTTGTTTATTTCCAAATATTATAGTTATATTTTAGACAATATTATAATTTAAACTTATACAAAAAAAACCTACATGAAGTTAATATCTTGTTATGTAAATAAAAATAAATTGCAGGGTCTAGATAATTAATTAGGTGTATATTTTTATTATTTATACATTATTGTTCCCTGTTTTCTTCAAGCTTCAACATTTTCTCTCTTTAATCTCTTCTTTTTTTGTTTTAGACTTAAAATGAATCATGAAACCATATCATTCTCTCTCACTATTTAGAAATCATCTTTTCATGAAAAAATAGTTATAGTATACTATAATTATTTTAGATTTTTTTAAAGAAAAAGTAATTTAGTGAGTGTTTTTAGTAGAGTAGTTTTTTGAAAGGCTGAGATAATTTATTTTTTTATTTTTTTAAATACCTTTTTGTTTAAACTTTAGAAGTTCAGTTTTCACATTAATTTAAGAGATTCCAATACGAAAAATAAGTCTTGTGTATTGTGCTCCTATCCTATCTCATCCTATCCACCAGCTTCCGTTTCAAGGGATATTGTAAATCTAAATCATTTTATAAAATATTGACATAGGGAAGGATGTAGTTGACAGCCATAGATAATTCTTCACAACCTTAATGTTGATTTCTGGAACCAAACTACTAATTTATTTTCCAATTTAATCTCATTAATGAACTTCTTTATCAGATAACACCCTTTAAGCAAAAATCTTTGTGGTTTTCTATAACAGATCCTGTGTATTCATGTTTTAGATATAAACACCCTAATTAGACCAAAGAGATGGTCATCATAATGATATATTTCATTTATAATGAATGACAAATTTTGTCATTATAAATTATAATTTTATTATAAATTTTATCAAAATTGTTTTGTTTTATGAGAGAAACCGATTTATAGATTGTTAGCATGATTTCAGTTCTTAGTATTATATTTATTAGTCTTGGAACAAATAAATGTCGATAATTAAATTTAAAAAACATGCCTCCTCCTTATGCTATATTTAAATAGCTTCCTCTAGTATTCCATTTTATTTTGCTCATATAGTATTCTTGAATTTCAAAATTTCATTAAAGCAGAATTTCAAAGTCTGTACAGAACTGCTGCCTAGTTCAAATCTCTTATTTTCACAAAATTATTTTAACTATATCTTTGATTTTTTAAATATGAGATAACTTTAATTCAAAAATGTATATGTTCCTGCACAAACCAATATCAAAGTTTGTGTTGGAACAAATAAATTATTATATTTAATTTAAATATTACACCTGATTATATCTTCCTTTAGTTAAACCTCTGGTGGCCTAAGCTCTCTTACTTGAATGACTGCTTCAAGTGTTCTAATAAGCTTATATTTAACATATTTTTTTACTTCTTCCATATATCCTACTCTTAGCTTTCTTAATTATCAAATAGTTTAATTTTCTATATCACAGGGATAATTCTAATTTTAATTTTCCATCATTTTCTACTATGGTTAAACTTAGGAACATCATATAATCTGAATTTCTGTACCATTGTCTAGTTTGTATGTCATTTTTAATACTGTAAAACAGAATTATGTCATATTAAATTGATTATCCAAAAAATATTTTAATTTATAAACATTTAAATTTTATCAAATCTTTTTTCTTCAACATTTTCTTATAAAATAATTTTAACTAACTATCATCTAGTTTTGATTTTACTGACTAATTTGTTTGAGGAAAATTACTAATTTTCAATATTTATTTTTAGGCAGGTTAGAATAAAATATTGGATTTATTCTTTATTAACATGACAATAACAATAATAAACTCTTTGTTAATTCTACGACAAGTCCCTTTTAAACAATATACATAAACCAAATTGTGGCTTTTAGAACCTCAGAGTTACATAAAAAAGAACAAAAAAATAAAAAAATATGATAGAAACATAAACAAATAAAATAAAAGCCGAACAGATAATTTATAAAAATATTATTTTTACCATTATTTAATCTGTACATTTTGATATTTTATATATTTAATAATAATTTAAACATCGATAAATGAAGGTGATAACTGTGTGTATTATTATATTTCTAAGAGTTTTTCATATAGTCTTATTTTTTAGTTTCCTTCAGCATGTTTCCAAGTCTTCTTATAAATCAATACACATAAAATCAAGCATAATTTAGAAATGTTTTTCAATTAGCGGTTTAATTTAAGTTTAACTAAATCTATTAATTACTTCCTGAAGTGCCCGATACCGCGCCTGATGAAGACCTGCAAAGTGGGTCGAAACGTCGGCGTAACGATTTAAATACTATTTTTACGATTTAGTATTTATTTTACCGCACTCTCCATTCCCCTCTCTCCTCTCTCCCCTTCCACCCTCGACCAACTCCTCATATTATATCACGGTCAACCATCTCAACACCATTTTCTCCCATAGTTTTTTAAGAATGTTGGTCATTGTTGGTCAAGTTGACTACAGGCATTATAATTATGATTTTTTATTGTGAATAATTGTATTTTTAGTTGAATGGATTTTCTCCATTGGATGAAGCTTTCCTAAATATTTCAGACGCAGCATAAACCCGCAATACTCTTCAGCTTTGCGTTCTTAGCATTTTTGTATTCGACTGTTAATGAGTAGCGAAGTGGTTTTGTACTGCAAAAATCGTTGTTTAAGTTTATATTATGGCTTATTATTTCCAAATTGGTAACCCTCCTACATAAATCACTGTTCTTCCTCAAATAATAATGTACGACATAGATTTAAACAACCAATGTTTTCGAAACTAAAATATTTTTTTTTTATGAATATTATATTATCCCCACATATATTATTACAGTAAGGCTCAAAATCGCTTTTGTGCCAAATATAAGCTCCTGTCATGCTCAAATACCATGAATGGTATACCGTTGGATTCAGAATTTCACGGGGGGTTAGCGAATCGTATTCTCCACTTTTGTTTTTCTTTCTAAAATAAATAAAGTCGATACAAACATTTTGCTAGGCTTCAATACTGGAACGGTGGTAGGTCTGTAGATCGATAGGGGACAAATTGGATCTTGAAGATTTAGATCCGTACATCCTCCGGAACTATCGGATCCTGCGTTTTTAAGCCCAAAAACCTACTCTTTTCGAGATAACCGCAAGGCATAGGGTTCGCATCTATACAGCCTTACATTAATTGTGGTACTGTCATTGAATACATGTCTTTTTTCGTCGACTTGAGGTCTCTATGATCGAGAGAGGAGGAGTTTATATTAGTTATCGATGGTGTATTTGATCGGCATGCCATATCATCGTTAATTTTTCACCAAATCTCAAGATTGAGCCACCAATTTCGAAGGTTTCCTTCTCCTTCAGTCGGGCAAAATAGTCCAATCACCCCGAAAATTCAGGCAAACAAGTTATGAAAGAAAACGAACTTTATTTGTGAATAACTAAAAAATTACACACTTTTCCCTTGGATTTGCCCATGATTATATAAAAGATTACTAAATTCCCAACAAAATGAAATAATAAAATCATCGAAATCGATTAGAAATTTTTCCAATATTTTTTTCACATTTTATTATTATGTTTTCTTATTTTGGATTAATATTCATTAGGAAAGTTCTATTATAGCCCATTTCATTTGAAAATAACTATATATTTGGCATATAGCTATAGTATCAGTACGTCGTTGAAACAATTTGTAGTGACTGAAGGAGGAAAGTGGGTTCAAATATTTTTTTAAGGGAAAACAGAGTTGAGCTTTGTATTTCGCACCTCTATAAAGCCTCAAATACGAATTTTCATAGAAATTAAAAAAAAATATTTTGCACCAAATCGGAACCAAGCCTCTTCTTTCGAAAATCACAAAAAGTGGGGTAACATAAAAATGAATACACTTATCCTCACGAAAATTTACATTAAGTTATGCCCATGATTATATAGAAGAATACGTAATTCCCTACAAAAAGAAAAAAAAAATCATCGATATCGGACTATTTTTAACAAAGATACAGCTTACTGAAATTTGTGAATATGTTCAATGAATAGGTTCCAAACAAAAATCAAGATTTAAATTAATTTTTGTTTTCTTTGTCGATTATATGTATCGATAAAGTAACATTTGATTTCTTTATCATTTGATACCTTGCATTATTTTATTTTCTTATTAATTTGGCATTTGATAACAATATGCTGTGCGAATTTTTCGCAAGGGCCTACTAGTTTAAAAAATTCGCTTTCGTTCGTTATTATGTGGCATAGTCGGATTTAATTCTTTCGTTTTCATCATACAAAATAAATTGATATGTATAATAAAATCTATTGTATGAAATTTTGTAGTTCATAAACTTGTGACTTTATTTTAACGCATAACATTGTACGGAAATATCTGGGACTTCACGGCTTACAAATTAATAGAGCTTTATTTTAATAATATCATATTGTTTCATAGTTCAAGTAATTTTGTAGCAGAAAGCAGAAAGATGTGAGTTTACGCAAATTCAAGAATTCAGCTGCTAATTCACGTACATTTGGTTCAAACTGGACATTGTCATTATTGGATGTATATGGAATGTGCCGATATTTTCTTATTCTCATGATCCTATTAATGGATGTTGGGAGCTTGATGATTTGAGTTGATTTTTTGTTTGTTTTTTTTACCTTATCCGGTGATTCGGACCACTCGTCCTGTGCACCACTACTTCAATCAAATCTCGGCTACTTTTTTTTATGTAATTCGTCTTTATGGGTGTTACTCCACTAAGTCCGCTTAGCGCTTAATCTGCACCGAAAAATGACGGCAGAAGACTATCGAAAATTGGAGCCTGAGCATCGTTATGGAAAACTATTATTCCAAGAATGGTCCCGCAAGTTGTGGATATTTCTAAATCACCTACTATCAAAGATGTTCTGG